ATATATATAATGTGCTTAAGTATGTATGCCTTCTGTGTGACTGTTAGGGTCATAAAAGTTCTTTGTTGCTTTGAAAATCAATTTCTGAGTGGGTAACTACTAAGCAGTGCATTGGACACTTTAAAAAATGAAATTATCTGTTTCAGATGCTTTTAAAGGCATTGTTGCTAAGAATGAGGAGAACACTAGATGATGATGTATTCATGCCCTTATATCCAAAAAAGTAAGTTTGCTTTCAACTATGGTGTTAGACCTTTATTTGCAAGTTGATGTCTTCTGTCCATAGTTAACAGGGGTTTTTTCCCATTATGGTTCACTGGCTGGATACAGGAGATATTTCATTATCATGCTGTGAGGATTTAGCAAAGACAAACAGGATGGAAGGGAATATTTACAGAGATGAACTGTGTTGGGGAAGGAGGAAGCCAGCAAACTCCAGACAGAGGTGGTCTTGGTTGTTCATTAAAGAAATCTCTTACTTTCCAGCATCTTAGAAAACAAGAACTCTGGTCCATATTTGTTTTTCCAGCGTCAGTTTTGGTCCTCTGTTAAGGTAAGTCAGTAAATACATCTGGTAAATCTTTCATCTAGACAGTGTAGTAATGAAATCCCCTTCAAATGTATGGAGATGGAAATTGCTTTAACTTCATTTGAAAGAACTCTAAATTAGGGTTCTTAGTCTTTGATAATGCACTGTGCCCTCTTCAAAACGTTGCCAGTGAAAGTGACATCATTTTAACTTGGATGTTGTGGGTTTACTTAGCATGCTAAACCTGTATTTTTTTTAATGTCATTGTGCTTAATGTCATTGTCAGAATAAAATATGCTGCTTTTGTTTCATTTACATTGGAATGAGAGAGCTTGGTTTGGTTGGGATTTTTTACATATAGTCTGAGAATCTCCATGAAAATAACCTGGCTCCTTTTCAAAAGCTCGCTGCTATTTGTAAAGTATAAGAGCATTTGTAATCTTGAGTTTAATTGAAACGATAAAGAGTGCAAAAGAAAAAGTCTCTGGGTGTGGAACGTGCAGTACAGAGTTTGCAAAGGTCCGTAGGAATCTATGTTGTAGTTTATTTTCAGTAAAGGGCTGTGAAGTAAATTAACTCCCAGCTACACAGGAAAGAAAAGTATGAGTCATAGAATCACACAATGGTTTGGGTTGGAAGTGACCTTAAAGATCATCTAGTTCCAATCCCACTGTCAGGGGCAGAGACCCATACTGCTTGAGCTGCTGATCTCCATGATTGTGCAAACAGAACCCTTACCTGGGATTTTCTATTCAAATTGCAGCAGTGAAGGAGACTGTATTCCTAATAAGCTTCCAGTCACTTCATTTACTTAAAATATTTGGCACTGAATTCTTTCACTTTGAAATAAAAGTCAACTTCATAAATGCTGCCTAGAGCAAAAAATGCACAAGGCTCATTTATTAAAATGCTGTTGTTAAAAGTAAAACAGTTTGCTAGTTCAGGGCCTGTGTGTCTTTTAAGGGTGAAATTGTCTGCTTCTGGCACTATGTATTGGAGCCTGGGCAGCTTAAAACAGTGGTACGGCATAAATACTTCTACATTAGGGAAGCATTAAAAATACAGCTCTCTTGCACTAGCAAGTCAGTTACAGCATCAAAGATGAGCAGAAATAGAAGCTGGGAGGCAAGTGCTAATTTACCATTTCCTGATTATGTGCCTCAGCTGTACTCTGCTGGCTGGGCTCATTTGTATGAGGGTAGCAGCAACTCTTCACAGGCCACATGCCAGTGGGGAGTAACAGCAGTACAGCTGGCTTAGCCAGCATCCCTGGTGTCACTTCGTGTCTCTTGTGCCTTGGAAGTAAGGGTATGTTGGGGCTTTTGTTGACAAGGTGGCTGTGAATTTGCCCCCATATGGCATATGCATCACTTGGCTTGACATTGACACCAGGTTTTGAGAACAAGATGGTTTAAAACGTTAATCCTTATTTTAAGATTTCTTGTGCAAAACATGAGCAAAGTTGAGATGTGGTGGTGGTTGTATGAGAATTCACAACACTCATGGATTCTGAATAGTTTTGAAGATAGCAGAAGGCATATTTCCACTGCTTGGCCATGCTGTTGCATTTTGAAAAGCTCTAGAGTGTTTGATGAATGTCCTCGTTTCAGTACATTTGTAAATACTTATTTTCCCTGTGTTGTATTTTCAGTTATTAGGAAACTTTCTCCAGTGGTATGGAATCCTTTCAAACAAAACTCTTCAGGAATTGTCAATAGACGGTCTGCTAAATCGATACATACTCATGGCTTTTCAAAACTCTGAGTATGGAGAGGACAGCATTAAGAAAGCTCAGAGTGTAAGTAAAATGAAACTGTTTAAAATTACTTGTAATTCAAAGAAAAAATTACTTAAAACTTTAGGCTACTTATGAAATCTTGGCTTTCATATCCCAAAATGGAAATGTCAGTGAAAAATAGAGGGTTTTTTGTTTTGTTTTTAATACATAAAAGAAAGAACCTTTTCTGGCTCATACTTGTAGATAGTTCAGGTATAGTGTCAGTTTTGGTGGTTTACTGCTTGAATTTTGGATTTTTTTTTATTTTTTTTTTTGGTAGGTTTCTCAGCGTTTCACTCAGTTGGGCCTTGTCACTGCAGTGTTAACTGGCAGGTTTCACAAGTCATGTTAGATAGCTTTTAAAGTTCTGTTACGTTATATTTAACTTTATTTTTCCTGTTACGTCTAGGTAATTGCCTGCTTTCCTAAACAGTGGTTTGCTAATCTAAAAGGAGACAAAACTATTTCTCAGCTAGAAAACTTCTGTAGATACCTTGTTCATCTGGCTGATACAATTTATAGAAACAGCATTGGTTGCTCTGATGTGGAGAAAAGAAATGCGAGGTAACTTACTTTGAGTTAAGGCAGTTGCAATTCTTGGTGCTTTGTGTTATTTTGCTGATGCATTCAAACATGGGTAAATATAGCGCTGCATGTCTTCTGAAACTTATTTGAATTCAAACTTAAGAAATGTTATGGTACAGTAGATGGGGAGATTTTTAAGGTGTCGAACTGCAGCTGCTGGAAATCTTGAAAATTTTAGTGTGTTTTGCACTGCTGCTTAGTGTCACTGATTCTGGCATATTTTGTAGCTACTGGTTTTGGATTGTTCCACCTTGTGAGCCTGTTGCCAATTCCTGCATAATGGCTTCTAAATTACAAACTGTGCTTTTGTATACAGTACAAAAGTTCTGACTTTATTTACACAGCCACCTGGATGAACCTGTTTTCCACTAGGTCAAAGAGTCATTTTACTGGTGTCTGATAGCCAGCATAATTAAAAGTTCGGATTAGATCCATAAATGTTTCTGCTGGCCAAGTAACCTATAATGCTATGGGTGTATTGTTCTACACTCATAAACTTAAAAAACAAGTTGTTGCACTGATATGCAGGACTATAACAAGACTGGAAGATTGTTTATTCCTGTGCCGTGGCATGGGAAGCAGAGGTTTCAAGTCCAACAGTTCCGTTGTTCCAGCAAACCTGAAACTTGGAAAGACAAACCCACTTGCTACCTGCATTAATCATTCTTGATAGTTGAATTTGCTTGAGCCATTGTTGAATTACTCTTCAATTATTGAGGCTCTCTAGGGGATTAGATCCTTTTCCCTTTTTGATCTTATGCACAGCACTGCATCATAGAGACAGAAATTCCCCTTAAACCGTAGCAGAGAAACCTTGGTTAAGAGGGTTGGGTTGTTCTTTTTTCTGGTGTCAATTTTTTTTCCAGTTGCCATGTTGGTTATTAGACACTTCAGTCTTTGGAGTCACTTTGGCTGTGGCATATGAATCATCTCCTTTTCAGAGAACAGTGAGCTTTGTGCCACACCACGTTGCTTTTTATCTGCTCTCAGGTTATGCTTCAGAACTTTGTGTCCGAAGTATTACAGTAGCATCACAAGCCAACTTAAGTTTCCCCATGATTCAAATTCCAAAAGAACTTGCTACTTCTTCATTCCTAAAACCAAAATGCCCTGCCTAGCATGATACTGGATTTGAAATTACAGAGTTAAGAGAGAATCCAGTAGAGATTAAAACCTTCTCTCTTTTGTCAGACTGTTCCTAAATTTGAAAGAACTTTCTTTTCCAGCTGGAATGATAACTTGGTAAAACTTTTGCATTGGAAGAGAAACATCCAATTAATTACTTTTTTTCTAGTGAATTCTAATACAATTTCTGTCTTATGTCCTCCTACTTTTTTCCTGGCATTTAACAAATCTATTGCCATTGCCCCATTAAGCAGATGAAGTTAAGTCTGCAGCAGAAATGAAGAATGTCTTATCTTTTCTCATAAAGCCTAGGACAGTTGTTTGAACTAAAAATGCATTTATTTCTGCCAAATGCATCTTTACCTATCTCTAGGTTTTTCCAAACACTGGATGCTTTTTCACAGATCAGCTAAGTTAATTTTTACAATTGATTTTGAACTTCTATTGTTTTTAGTGAGACCAGTTTAAAGTTCATGTCCGTCCTCAAAGCAAGATACCAAAATGGTTCTTGACATCTGAAGAAGTACAGTCCTCCTGACAGTTAGTTCACTCCTCAGCTTCCTAGATTGACCTGAATTGTAATGCAACCTTTTTAAGGCATGCATTAAAGCATACTTGCTGCCTTGATTTTATTTTCTTTTTTGGGTGAAACATTTATCAAGACAGCTGTGACTCATTGCACAGCACCATAAGTAATCCAAGACTTCCTCTTGAGATGAAACTGCACCTCATATTAAACCATATTGTATGATTAATTCCTACTCGCAAAATACATTTTTCAATTTCAGTACAAAGCTGATACCCAGCTGATTTTATCAGACTAAGCAAGCGGGGCAGAGGATGATGTGAAGTTATCTGAAACTGATTTGCTATATGGATTCATAATGTAGTCTTCTGTTGAAATATTACTACTTGTAAATGATCGTTCCATTCCTGTATTGACTTCTTCTCCTTTTTTAGGGAGCACATAAAGCAGGTCATAAAGCTTCTAGCAAGTATCCGAGCACTGGATCATGCTGTGACAGTTGCAAATGATCACAACGTAAAAGAGTTAAAGATTTTAATAGAAGGAAAATAGACTTTTCTGACAACTCATTTTGAGCTTTAAAATCATTCCTGATGTGTAATTTATGTACATATGTAAAGTTTCTTAAACTGTAAAGTATTGATCTTTGTTTTAATACAAAGTGCATTCTTATATACAGCGTCCTTTAAAAAAAAAAATAAAAAATTACTTCTTTGAAAACAAAAATGGAATCCCAAGATTGTCATCTTTCCAGAAATCAGATTTTCCTTAAAGTTTCTCAAAATCTTGTTTACAGAAATACTTTGTACCCATGATTAGTAGTCATCTATCTTGGTAATTGTTCCATGGTTAACTGGAATGTGTATAATATATTATGTGTAATACAATGTATGCATATATTTATACCACCACGTTGCTTTCACACTGGATATAGAGATCATTACTGTTGGAATAAGCTTCTCATTTGCTTAAAAATACTTATTTTGACAATAAAGTGATCATATTATTGGTCAAAAGGGCTGGCAAAACATTCTAATATGTGAAAATCATTTGAACTAAATAGTTGAGACGCTTTCAAATGGAACCTGACCTTTAAAAAGCAGCTGCGCTGCACTCAAATTGGAATAGCCAAAGAATCTTTTGCATTCAGAATATGGAACACTTAAGACTGTTCTTAGAACTAAACCAGGAAGTAAATCCCAGTCTGAGCTTAATTATTTTTTACTAGAGGCATACAAGGAGATTGTATTATACTTGTGATTATTGCACAAGTATATATGACAGCACTTCCTAAGCCCAGACACCTTTAATTTTTTAGGAGTAATAGCTTACCCATGAACTCTGAACACTTGTTGCTTGCTCAAGTTGTTTAAATTCACTTTTTGTGTCTTCTGGGTTTTGGGGGTTGGGTTTTTTGGGGTGTGGCATGTTTGTTGGGGGGGGTTGGTTAGTTTTTATAGCTTCATACATGGAGCCTGGGTTTTTTTCTGATCAGTATGGCTAAAGGTATCAAGCAAAATGAAGGTGAAGAAAATTTTATATCCCATGATTGGAAATATTTGTAGGAAATAATCAAATGGTACACTTCCCACCCACTACCATCTAAGAATAGTCTTTAAAAAAAAAAAAAAAAAAGGCATTTAATTTGAATGTAAATGAAAAAGAAAACATTTCTACAATCTGGTGATTTCCATCAGAACACTGTTGGGGTCCAAGGCGTGGGAATAGCTGCAATAGCCTTGGATTAAGAGCTATTTCCAGGTGTGCCCTACTCTTTTGGGGAACTGTAGCAATAAGTTGGCATACTGAATAATGTAAGAAATCATCGTATTTTATGCTCATGTCATGTGGTATGAGTTATTAAAATGTACAATCTGTAACATGCAGACTTCGTTGGGATTGATGGGAGTTCATTCAGAAATACCTGCTTTTAAAAAATTGTTTCAATAAACTTGTCTGTCAAGGAGCTGTTGCAGTGCAACTTGGTAAGCTTTATTCCTTTGGAAAGGTGAGAAAGGAAATATGTGTGTCGGCTGACTCCATTTCAGTATGTCAGAGAGAAAAATTGTCCTTGATGGGGTTTTGGAGTGAACAAAAGCAAACCTAACGAGTCTATAACTGGATTTGGTTTAGAAATCATGTTTATTCACTGTGTACTGCCTCTCTGGGAAGAAGGCTTGTAAGTAGTACTTCTTTCACTCTCTCCCTGTCTGTTGTCCAGGTTCGAGCCATCGGCCATTATCTCAAACTTTTCTTTTTGTCTAATAGTATATAACTAACTACAAGACCTAAGCGCAGGTTTGTAACTGCATTTGACAGTTCAGTAGATGTGCACACTACTAATGGGGGTCCAGACTAGCAGAGCATCAAAGCTCTAGAAATTTATTATTAAAAATACAGGTATTTTGCTCCAATTTGGATTGTGACTAGGACTGCAGGGGAGGGAATGAAGAGTGTAGCTTCCTTGTAACCTCCTTACAAATTATAGCTACAGAGAATCTTTTTTCAAGATAGCCTGTAGTCATTTTCCTAATTAACTGCTGCAGAAGACGGGTTATTTGTATTACACTGAGCCTGTCCTCCCCCTTCTACAATGACACTGTATGGCTCTGGTGTTAAGTTCCTGCATGTTTGAGGACTTTCTCCTTCCTATGCCCACATAATGTCACATTTGGAGAACAACAACATGAAGAAAGTTGCAACAAAGTATACTTGTGGGTGATAAGTAATCATTTCTCATCTGGGGCTGTGCAGCACCTTTGCCATCTATAAATAGTTAAAATTGTGCAGGCACATAAAGGTGTTATGTAAATAATGTTACCCAGTTTTGTTTATAAACAAAGTAACCACTTCTATCACTTCACCTGTATCTCACTTACTGATGCAAATTAAATGCTAGTAGCAAATTGGTCGTGCTTTGGGTAATGTTCTTTAAACAATGTGAAGTAGCTGCTTGGTTGAGGTGTAATCCGAGGACGACTGCTTTAATGTTATTCTCCCAGTTTCCCATGTATACCCCACTGTTCACTATCAAAATTAACAAATCATTCTAACCTGTTAAGAGACTGATGCCCTAGGTGATGAAACCCCATGCGAGAAGGTACTAACACATTAAGTGACATGGTAAACTTATTTCTGCTCAGAACTCTTTAGGGACTGTAACAAAGTCTAATAAGCCCTTTAGTAGTTAGTATTGCTTCAGAAAAGGGAAGATGCATGACAAAGTTGCATGTAAAACTGCCAGTCATTGGCATTTTTATGTATAGGATAATTATTACAAAATTATTACAGTTAATTATTACAATTATTTTATTATACAGTTATGCATTACTACAGTTATTACAGAATTACCTTTTCCCCAAAGGTCACCAGAAGCAATGGGAAAACCTTGTCCTTTACTATAAAGGAAAACAAAATGAAATGTGAAATGGAGAAGTTGGAGGAAAAATTGTGCAGATTCAGGGAGACGTGTGATTCCTCTTTCTCCTCCTTCCACATACATCTCATTTTCTGCAAAAGTTTGCCAATCAGTGGTTCTGCTTTCAGTTCTCCCCAAGTTACTCTACGAAAAAGGCTTTTTTTTGGGGGGGGAGGGGGGAAGAACCCTAAATATATATCCACTGACCAAGGAGATATGCACCTGCAGTTTTGCTGTAGTGTTTGTTTTGAAAGGCTGACCTGTTCTCTTATGCATGGTTGTTCTTAAAAGCCGTACCCCTGTCACCTTAGTTTTATTAGTTGCCTAGTGAAAACTAAATGTCCTGTGAGTAGCGCTCCACAAGGAAGCACTACCACCTGTGACCTGTCCAGTCGGCTTTACCTGTGAAGGCAGAA